ATAAGAGCGGCACACGAGTTGAATGCATCAAAGCGCTGCGTGCACAACGGACAAACGCGTAAAAAAAAATACCAGTGCAACACGGAATTTGGTTTGATTTTGCATTTATCGTCTTCAGCCATGTTTAGGTTGGTTGCGTTGGCATTCTTTATTGCATCGGCGCACTTTGTTACTGCGTTTGACGAAGAAGAGAATGTTGTTGTGGTTACTAAGGTAAGCAACGATTTCCTGGTTCTGAGAAGTTTAATGACAAAGATTCTGAGGCTTTTTTTCCCACGCTTATTTTTCCATTATTTTTTTTTTCTTTTTATTTTTTGTTGTTCCTCGTTTATGTATTTTTATTTCTTTTTTACGCCACTGGCGTTCAGCTTTTCTCTTACATCTTTTGGCTGCTATTATTCTAAAGCAACAACAAACAATGGTTGATGGTGATGTTAGATTACTGAAGGTATCTTGCGGTAAGAGTGAAACGATTTAGTTTTGTTTGAAATTCTTTTTTTTTTCATTGGTGTTGTTGTTATGGAATTATTTGCAGAGATATGCAGTAATTAAAATGTATTACTCTAGAATATGTCGTCTTTAAACTGTTATTCATAGATCTATCAAAGGCCAGTGCACAAAGATCGTGAGTAGGGAGGGGAAGGGGGTAATAAATAGATGTTTAGGTTGAATTCGTGTAGAATAAACGAAAATTTCATTGTAAAATTATTTGTTACTTATTCCCATTTATCTTTTTGTTTGTCTATGGGCATATATACTTTTTTTAAAGGATAATTTCGAAGATGTTATAAAGGAGTATAAATATATTCTTATTGAATTCTACGCACCTTGGTGTGGACACTGTAAAGCTTTGGCACCTGAATACGCGAAAGCGGCAACGCAGCTAAAAGAAGAGGAAAGTGAAATCAAACTTGGAAAATGTGATGCTACAGTGCACAACGAGCTCGCTTCCAAATTTGAGGTCAGTATTCTTTTTCTATTAGCGTTACAGATCACCGACTTCACAAGTAGTTCGTAAGCATTCAAATCTAACTTGCACCCCATCTAATTGGTTCTTGTGGCACCTGTGTTTCTATTGGTGATACAGGCATTGCTGATGTACACTAGAATTTTGGGCGAAATTTAGGTAAAAGGCTACCCGACGCTAAAATTGTTTAAAAATGGTAAACCAACTGAATATGGTGGTGGCAGAGATGCTACTTCTATTGTAGCGTGGCTGAAGAAGAAAACTGGTCCGGCGGCAAAGACGCTTAATTCGGCCGATGATGTCAAAGACCTTCAGGAATCTGCTGAGGTTGTTGTCATTGGCTACTTCAAGGTAAAGGTTTTTTGAGTACATGATTTTACACAACACTTTTCATCCTAATTTTGCTGCCTTTTAAGTTTCATGGTAATTCCAAGATTTTAAAGTTTTAATATTTCAGGATGTTGAGTCAGATGATGCCAAGACTTACCTTGAAGTTGCCGGAATGATCGATGACCTTCCATTCGGTATAACTTCAGACAAAGATGCTGCCAAGGAATTGAAAGCAGATAAGGAAGGAATTACTTTGCTCAAGAAATTCGACGAAGGTCGTGTGGCTTTCGAAGATAAACTAAATGTGGATTCACTTAAAGCTTGGATTCAGGCAAGTACTTTGCAATAGTGTCTAACTTCAGTTTATGCCTGTGAGTGGTTTTGGTGTTAGAGTTCATTTATAATGTATTTTATTCTTGTTAGCATTTTTCGTTTTATTTCTTTTTCATGGTTTTGCTTTTTTAGGCTAGTCGCCTTGCCCTTGTCAATGAGTTCACGCAGGAAAGTGCATCTGTTATTTTTGGTGGTGACATCAAATCTCACAATCTCTTGTTTATATCAAAAGAAAGCGACGAGTTCGAGAAACTCCAGGATGAGTTCCGAGAGGCTGCGAAGAAATTTAAGGGGAAGGTTTGTCACGGATTTTTTGGCGTTCCACCATTGCCCTAAATGCTCTTATGCTGTTGTATTTCAGTTGCTCTTCGTTTATATCAACACAGACGTTGAGGATAACAAACGTATCATGGAGTTCTTTGGGCTCAAAAAGGAAGATTTGCCTGCGTTACGTTTGATTAGCCTTGAGGAAGATATGACTAAATACAAGCCAGATTTCACTGAAATTACTACCGACAATATTGTAAAGTTCACTGAGGAGTATTTGGAGGGCAAGTTGAAGCCGCATTTGATGAGTGCTGACATTCCTGAAGACTGGGATAAGAATCCTGTTAAAGTGTTGGTTGGGAAGAATTTCGATGAAGTTGCAAAGGATCCGAAGAAGAATGTTCTCGTTGAATTCTGTATGTTTCTTTATGTCAATAACCGCCTTTCATTGTGTCTGTGAGTATTCTGTTCTCTTTTGGCCGTTTGCGCTTGTCTCCGAGAAATATTTGTTTTTAGATGCCCCTTGGTGTGGGCACTGCAAACAGTTGGCTCCTACATGGGACAAATTAGGCGAGAAGTATAAGGACCATGAGAATATCATAATCGCAAAAATGGATGCCACTGCAAATGAAGTTGAAGACGTCAAGATTCAGTCGTTCCCAACCATTAAATTCTTCCCTGCTGGGTCGAACAAGGTAAAAGTCATATCTTAATCTATTTCGGCTACTCTCTTGGTTGTTTTTGTCATCTAGCACTAATTCAGCCTTAGTGGCTTCTAAAACCCTGAATTTTCAAGATTGTTGATTACACTGGTGAGCGTACGTTGGAAGGGTTCACGAAGTTCCTAGAATCAGGCGGCAAGGAAGGCGCTGGTCCTTCAGAGGCTGAAAAGGCTGAAGCAGAAGCAGAAACTGAGACCGAGGAGGAAGCTACGGAAGCAAAGCACGAAGAATTGTAACATTGTGGTTTTTGGTTTGGTTCGCAAAGTTTATCCATGTAACCAAATTAGAGCTAGGTTTTTCCTACCTCTTTTGCGCATGCAAAGCAGTCTTTCCTTTCGTGCAGCGTCGATTAAAACGGAACTTTGTTAAATTTTAATCCTTGCCATGTTATGTTTTCGTTGTTTTGTTGAAACTCCTGCTATGTTGTTTACTCTTTGTCCGGGTTCTCTGTTAAATTTTGTGATTATTTGCAATTAATTTATTGTGCTAGGGCTTCTTGATCATTTCCCTGTTGTGATCTTTCACCCTCATTTCCCCCTTAGAGATTTCCAGACCGACTCATGTGACCATAAACTTCTGAAAAGGTGGTAATCCAGTTCTTGAGTAAGGGTCCACATTTAATTGTTGTGTTGTATAGGAGCTAATTATATTTGGTTCTTTTTATATTCATAAACATCGGAATGATTTGCTCAGCTGATTGCGACTTCTAAACTGTTCATTGATTTACTCGCGCTCGTTCACTTCTTGAAAAGTCAGGATTGAAAGGCACAGGTGCTTTATTCATGGTCTTGTGGTTCTCGAGTGAAAAATTAAGGGAATTAGCAGTGATGTAATCTTTCCAGAGGTGCGCGCACCAGAGTGAAACCACATTTAGTCTGGCGACACTTCAATGGAAGCAGCAAGAAGTACGACTCCATTTGACTCAGACTTTGTAGATTTTTTTTGGTAGGGAGGATGCGTTGTCGAATATTCTCAACACCTGGAAACTGCACTGCTCTCACTATTTACAGTCTAATGAAAGGATAAAATGTGGTACTGTTTATACAGAATCCCCAAAACACGAAAAAGCAACACAATAATATTCGGACTTAATGGCGCGGAAATAACAAGACGTTTACAGTACTGAATACAGAAAAACTTTCTAACCATTCAAACGAGTAACTCCATCGAAAAAACATCTCATAACATGCAAGAGGCTAATAAAAACTGCAAAGAAGACACTTGAGGCTTCTCATACTTTAAATGCTTAGGAAGCATTGTTGGAAAGGGAATTTCTTCGAACCATTTAATCACCAGTCTTTGGAGATCTCCAAAGTCCACTGCCACGTCAACCAATCATGATTATCATCGTCAGTTACTTGGGACTTCACTTTATAAACTCCACGATGCACCATCCCTAGAAAGCCGAAATAGTTTGCAGGTTTAGCTGTATAATTCACTTGCCAAAATAAGAGTTATTACGAGCTTCGAATGCTTTTAAATTTAGACTACGAAAGCCTTTCCGATAAATAACTGGAAGACAGTTACAGCAGCTTCACTGGAAAGTACGCAAAGCCATATATAAAGAACAGGTAAAGACCTGAGGGGGCTTCATCAACTGGTGTAGTGAACGACTGAAGGTCAGTTTTCGGCGCATAAGAACCCATCATTAAAACGTCTTTATCAACTGCAATAGCAGGATAACTTGGTTTCAAGCAAGATCACCATGGCATAAACTTACGAATGAAAACATCTCATTTTGTCAGAAATTAGAAACACAGTTACTGAAGTACAGAAACTAAAAATCAAGGGCACCTGTAATAGAATGTCGGGTCACTTTTTGCTTGTACTTCAAGCCGGCGCATATTTCCCTCTGGACATAAAAGTTGAATCGGATACGATACTGTGTACCTTCCTTAATTTTAAAAGCTGGGTCACAACTACGATCTAAATTAATAAGGAGTTACTTCACATTAAAGAATTCATAAATCACAGTGGAACATTTAAACAGCAGAATGAGTGAGAAGACATCCTTGAAAGACGCTGAAAGGTGAAAAACAAAAAACAAATCCACCTCGTGCTACTGGTTAAGCCTACGTACGTATATAAACGAAGAAGGAAAACTAAGTATTAAAAAAAATAAAGAAGACTTTCTGAAGAACTCATAATTAATCAGCTGTAAAAGAAGACACTGAAAGATAAAAAATTCTAGGAATAAATATTAAAAAAGGTAGCATTTCTCACTAATAATCTTAAAAATGCAAATACACCTAACAATCAAACTCAGTTCTTCAGTGCACTGAAAACGACTGTGTGGTGCATGTTGGAGATTTCATTAGGCGCAGGATCAAAGGTAAAATTACTAAACCTTCAAACTACACAAGTCTGAGAAAGGAAAATTCGTAACACCATATAATGCAATACTACGCAGTGAGAAGATGAAATCAACACATAACTGTCGCAAATTATTGAAGCGAGTATCAAGGGATCTAAGATATGAAGTGGGTAACTATGTTAGTACGATCAAATGCAGCATTTTTTTTTCACACAGCATCGTGCTCAAGAATCTGAAGTAAAAAGCCATTCCTTAACAAAAACACTTATAACAATTCCTCGTGACGAACTTAAGTTCACACCCTAACACCATGACAAAATAAAAACACTGCCTTTCCATTTGAGATCATGCACAAGACAAAATAATACCTCTCCATACCGTCTTGTCAAGCTAGTATCTAAAAAATAAGTGTCATATTCAATGTACTGTAAAAAGCCACGGCAGCGAGTCAGTGGTTGTACAGTTACCTTTATCCAACCTCATGGTAATCTCATCGCGTCCCTTGACTACAAGCGAGATTGAATGAACAATTACATTTTTAGGGTTTGAAGCATCAACTATTACTGGACCGGCTTTAGCTTCCCCAAGTAACTGTGCTTTATATCTGCAAATAGTTAGATAAGCAATAGTTTAAAAAGTGCTTTCGTTTTACACTTCTAGAAATAGTATTAAATTTATTTCAAGGTAGGTTTCCTGTACGCAATTCATCTTATATTGATCGAGACTAAATTTTAAAACCTCAGGGTTTTGATAACATCACAGAAAATTCAAAGTGATTTTTAGTATCAATGCTAATTTTATTTGAAAAAAAATTTAAATCATAAACCATAGAGGCAGCGCAAAAATAAAGTTTTCAGCCTGTGAATCCGGTAACAAGCACATAATATGGTATAAGTTTTCGTATATCAACAAAAAGAACTACCTGTCCAAAAAAATAATTTGCACGAATTAAAACAACCCCGAACTGGTAAAAGAATATTTCACTTCTTCAACAGTTACCTACCGCTTTCTCAACAAAATGTTTTTTTTTCCAAAGACTACATAGAACCAAAGGGTAACTCGTAAAATCTATTCAAGCCTAAAAATAAAATATTTTTTTAAAAAAAAAACTCCGGCAAAAAATAGCAATATTGAAAATAAACAGTAGTCGCTTGCATCAATTAGTGAGTTAGTGAGTATATAATCTAAAATAAGTTGAAAATAAGGCTAAAATGTTTAACAAGACTGATCTCAGAATACTCTGTCTGTTGACAAATGAAACACTAATAAACTTGAAAGCGCAGATATTTTTAAATATCAGAGGTCGTTGCAAAAAGAAAATTATAAAGTTTCAAATAAAATCCACTTCTGAAAAGCTCATCAACAGCATTAGAATGGCAAAAGAAAACAGCAAAAAGCTTTCAGTTATCAAAAATCTTGTAGGAAGAATAATTTAAAAACTCTTCAGATGAAATTATCTAAAATACAGACTTGTTCAGACTTTCATCCTCAGCGTCTGCAGCAACAATTTCAGAGACTGATTTTGGAACTGGGGGAGCATATGTTTCCTTATCTTTTTCTAGATCTTCTTTTTCCGACATCCCAATTTAAAAGGACTTGAGCCTAAAACCACGAACTCAGTAAAATACACGAAGTACAATGATAATGATGCATTTCCCGCAGCATGTAAGCAATATTAACAAAAAACTCAATCCTTATCTAAAAATCCAATTATGATACGGCAGAAAACTCTAGTCGCCATAGTCAATTAGATGATGCACTATCACTTTACTTTTGTTTAGGAAAAATAAAAATATCAATTTGCAAAATAGCGAATAACAACATCAGTGTTTTTTGCCAAAAAAAAAAAAAAAATCTAGCGAAAAATAGGCAAAAATGGCGATTAAATAAAAATAAATCAGAATATAAAAACGACCAGACTCCCTATACAACCATTAAGAAACTTTGTTAACAAAATCAGTAGTAAAACTCCAACGTAAATGAAACAGAAGTCCACGAGCCTAGTGTTATTGTACTGTTTTCAGAGGATAACACGATAAAATGATCCTCTAGATAGAATGTTTTTCTGTTAAATTTAACGAGTGAGAAAACCTACATTTTGAAATTTGACAGGACAATAAGAATGAAGGAATCTATAAGCGATTCCTCACCATAATCTACTTCTAATCAAACAGCTTTAAAAGCCGAAACATCTTCGTGCGACCAACTTTTATCAACCCATTTTTATCAGCAATAAACGAATACTGAGGCATTATGAAATTTTGTAAACTTTCTTGCAGAAAATTAAAATAATTTTCACGCATACTTCAAAGCTCAGAGTATTTGCAGTTAAAACCTAATAAAATGTGCAGCAACTTCAGCAAAATCATAGAATGAGCAAAAAAAAAAGACGGGATAAACAAATTTTGTAAAAAAAAAGATCGAAAAGCATT